GCGGGCCGGGCTGTACCCGGTCTCCACCTCGTCCTCCAGGCAGGCAGGGTGAGTTGACAGGTCTTGCCGTCCCGCCTAGGATGGCGTCTAGCCTGACGTTGTAGGCAGATCTGTCAGCATCGGGTGTGTGGACACGTGTCGTCTCCTAACGGCCGCACCCAGACTGTCGGCGGGCCCACGGGCATTTGAGGGGGCCTCGTTGCTGGAGAAAAGCTGCCTGGCTTCAAGCTGGGACCTGTCTTTCCTGACCTGGATGCCCCGCTTTGACACATTAAGAGCCGCTTGTTCTGTTGGCACCCGAGAACCCGTGGAGACAGGAGGGACTTGGTGCCAGGCCCGGTGGCCCGAGTGTCGTAGGATGGATGGAGAGGCATGGCCGGCAAGACCACACTCTGGGCGCAGGCGTGTGACGCTTGTGTGAGTTAACTTTGGAACTAAATATATGTTGTGCATAATTGTTAGGTGTAATTTAAAATGCATCTGTTTGCCTTGGTAATGAGAGTATTGTATGTAAGGCTCCTTAGGGAGAGCAAGATGTACATTTTATCAGACTCTTGTGGACTTTTTTGGGCAATGAAATGCTTTATTGGTCCAGCGGTGCAAGAAGCTACATACATTCTGTATCTCGTCATCGTAGTTACAATACCTAATGGGAGGTTAAGGCAGAAAAAAAAAGTCAACTGACCTACCCGTTCATCACCATGGCCCAGTCTTTCTGTGCCCATTGCTTCACTGGGTGGCAGTGCTCTTTCAAGAGGGGCGTGGACTGGCCAAGGGTCTCGGGGCGCAGTTCTCCGGAGCCCCCCCGGCCCACCCTGTAAATGTGTTTGAACTGCTGAAAACCCCCGTGAGATGAAAGACCTTGGCTTGAAGTCCAAATGGGATTTCTCCAAACAGAGTCAGGGAGGAGGGATGGGAAGATGCATTCAGACTTTGTTAAATTATTAACAAGGTATATGATTTTGTGTTTCTTGATGACAGACTTTTTAAGTTTGGGACTTATTTTCCCATTGGGGAAGTTATATATTTAAGATAAGTTTCCTGCTTACGTCGTGCCTTTCAGCATTGATGGGTCTAAGGAGCACAAAGGGTGATGGTCTTCTTGAGGGTTGGTTTGGTT